TTTAGTAGCCGTAGATTTTTTAAAGACTATTTTTTTACAAGGACTTCATAGACATGCATTTTTTGGAGAATATTTTTTAAAATACTTCCCTAGGCGTGGAGTATTTTTCAAAGAGCGTAAATTTTGAAAGAATATTTTTATTGACATGGACTTTTGAAGAATATTTTTAACACGGTATTTAATTGGCATGGATTTTTAAATAAAATTTTTTACAAGGTCTTCAATAGGCGTGGTTTTAAGGAATCTTTTTAAAATGACTTTAATAAGCTTGGAATTTTAAAGAACATTTTTTAAAAGAACTTCCAAAAATGTGGTTTTAAATTTTTTTTGAAGGACTCTAACAGGCGTTTTTTTAATATATAATATTTTTTCGAGGACTTTAACAGGCGTGGATTTAAAGAATTAATTGAAGGGACTTCAAATAGAGTGGCTTTAAAAAATCTCTTTTGAGATCTCAAATAGCGTGGATTTTTTTAACAATATTTTCTACAACGTCTTCCAGATGAGTGGCTTTTTTATAGAATATTTTTTGCAAGGATTTCCAGGAGCATGAATTCTAAAAGAATATTTTTAAAAAGATTTCAACAATATTTTAAAAAGATTTTTAAGGGCTTCAAAAGCCGTGGATTTTACAAGGTCTTCAAAAAGTCTTGGTTTTTGAAGAATATTTTTTAAACGGTCTTCCTCAGGCGTGGGTTTTAAAACTTAAACTAGGCGCATCATTTTAAAGAATATTTTTAAAAAAGACTTCAACTGGGGTGGATTTTTAAAAATATTATTACAAGGACTCCTATTGGTTTTTATACCCTTCATCACACTGTGGTACTGGGTATTATGTCCTTGTGCATATGTTTGTAACAGGCAAAAGGAAACGAGATAGACCCACGGTTCCTTTTGAGAATATGCATAGAATCACTTTTTAAGTCGATTTATGCATGTCCGTCTGTGTGTCTATCCATGTTAAATTGTAAACAAAGTACAGGTCGTATTTATTATCCGAGTTGGTTGAAATTTGGCACAGCTCACTTAATTGGCCCAAGAACGAACCCTATTGAAATTGGGGAAAATCAGGTCAGATTTAGATATAGCTCCCATATATATTTCTTTCTGATTTAAGGTAAATGGGGCACCAAAGTCCCTATATATGTTTCGATTTGCACGAAATTTGGTATAGAGTACTGAACTAGGTCCAGAATGTTGTGTGAAAATCGGTCCATATTTAGATATAGCTCCCATATATATTTTCGTCCGATTTAATGTAAATGGTGTACCAAAGTCCCTATATATCTTTCGATTTGCACGAAATATGGCACAGTGTGCTGAATTAGTTCCAGAATAATGTGTGCCAATTTTCGAGAAAATCGGTGCAGATTTAGATAATGCTCCCGTATATATCTTCGTCCGATTTAAGATAAATGCTGTACCAAAGTCCCTATATATCTTTAGATTTGCACGAAATTTGGCACAGAGTACTGAATTAGGTCTAGAAAGATGTGTGTTAAGTTTCCTTAAAATCGGTCCAGATTTGGATATAGCTCCCATATATATTTTTGTCCGATTTAAGGTAAATGGGGCACCAAAGTCCCTATATATGTTTCGATTTGCACGAAATTTGGCATAGAGTACTGAACTTGGCCTAGAATGATGAGGGAAAATCGGTCCATATTTAGATATAGCTCCCATATATATTTTCGTCCGATTTAATGTAAATGTTGTACCAATGTTCCTATATATGTTTCAATTTGCACGAAATTTGGCATCGAGTACTGAACTTGGCCTAGAATGATGTGGGAAAATCGGTCCATATTTAGATATAGCTCCCATATATATTTTCGTCCGATTTAATGTAAATGTTGTACCAATGTTCCTATATATCTTTCGATTTGCACGAAATTTGGCACAGTGTGCTGAGTTAGTTCCAGAATAATGTGGGCCAATTTTCGAGAAAATCGGTTCAGATTTAGATATAGCTCCCATATATAGTTTCGTCCGATTTAAGGTAAACGGTGCACCAAAGTCCCTATATATCTTTAGATTTCAACGAAATTTGGCACAGAGTACTGAATTATGTCTAGAATGATGTGTGTTAAGTTTCCTTAAAATCGGTCCAGATTTGGATATAGCTCCCATATATATTATTGTCCGATTTAATGAAAATGGTGTACCAAAGTCCACATATATCTTTCGATATGCGCGGAATTTAGCATATCGTAATGAATTAGGTCTAGAATGATGTGTGTTAAGTTTCCTGAAAATCGGTCCAGATTTAGATATATCTCTCATATATAATTTCGTCCGATTTAATGTAAATGTTGCACCAAAGTCCCTATATATCTTTCGATTTGCAGGAAATTTGGTCTATCGTAATGAATTAGGTCTAGAATTATGTGTGTTAAGTTTCGTGAAAATCGGTTCAGATTTAGATATAGCTCCTATATATGTTTTCTTACGAGTGTATGTAAATTGTGCACTAAAGACCCAACGCTTGTCTGATTGCCACACAATTTGGTACAATAAACTGTAGTTAATGTAAGTTAATCTCTGACAAGTCTCATTGAAATCGATTCATATTTTGATATAGCTTCTACAAGTACATTTTCATCCGATTTTACACATAATTGGCACAAATTTTGCACAACGTACTGAAGTTAGTATAACCTAGAAGTTGGATATAAATGCTTTGTCAAGGTGGGTCCAATTGGCACAACATTTTGCACTACGTACTGATGTTACTATAACATAACTTGTAGCAAGTTTAGTCGAAATCGGTTTAGATTTAGATATAGCTCCTATATATTGTTTCGTCAGATTTTAAGTAAAAGGCGCACCAAAGACCCAAAAGTTGGGGTGATTTTCTTAAAGAATTAAAAAAAACTCCAATAAGCTCAAATTAAAAAAAAAAAAAAATTATTTATTTTTTAAGGACTTCAACAGGCTTGGGTTTTAAAAAATTTTCAGAAAATGAAATAGTCGTGGATTTTTAAAGAATACTTTTTACAAGGACTTCCATTATTTTTTACAAGGACTTATATTATTTTTTACAAGGACTTCAATAGGCGAGGATTTTAAAGATTATTTTTACAAGACTTGAACAGGAACGGGTTTTTATAAAAAGAATTTTTAAGGAATTCAACAGGCATGTTTTTAAAAAGTAGTTTTTAAGAAGTTCTACAGACGTAGTATTTGAAATATATTTTTTACAAGGACTGAACAGGCGTGGTGTTTGAAATAATTTTTTCTGGAGTTTTTTTTAATATATTTTTAAATTCAAGCTTATTGAAGTCCTTGAAGAAAATAATTCTTCAAAATTCCGTCTTTATGGCAGTTCATGAAGAAGTAATTTTATTCTTTATTTTTCTTTTAAATTGTGAACAATATTTTGGATAAAAAAAGATACACTTCTTAGAGTCTCTGTATTTTATGCTTTACGCTTTTTGTAGCCCTTTAAAACATATTCCTGATATCCTTGCCAATTTATATCCTTGAAAAAATCTTAATATTTTTGAAAATCCACTGTGTGTGAAACATTTATGTACTCCCCCTCTCCCATCTCCCATGGCCCTTAACCTGTTGCTGCTTACATCCATTTCAAAAAGTGTTGGAAAACCTCTATCCTTGCTCCATTGAATTTCAATTTCAATGAACGTTGACAATGGTTGGGACTTTTATTTCCCTTTTTTCATTGTGGTGGCGCTTAAGTGAAAATAATCTATAAATCACATTTTTATGCTATTGAATGTATGTTGTTGTTATCCTTACATTTGAAATATTATACGGCTCAATGATTTTCAATTTGTATTTTTTTTATAATCTTAGAATGTGTGGTTGAAGGGTTACACGTTTTGAATTGTCAAAAAAAAAAAAAAAAAAAAAGTTAAAAGCATTGAAACGTATAATTTTTTTATAATATTCAACAATAATTTTTCGAAATCCGATTGCTAAGTGCTTTTGTAGAGATGGAGAAAAGGGATCTGGGCTAATAGTCTACCAGGTTACTTAAAAGCTTTCTAATTGGTTCAATTATAAAAAACTGGTTCTTATGAGGGTGGGAGAGGAGAAGGAGGAGGTAATGAATTTTTAATGCGATTTTGGAAAAATATAAAATAATATTTAATTGTGAGTTTTTTGGTTTTTTGGGGAACTTCAAAGGATTTGTAGGTCAGGGGGATTTCAAATTATTTCTGAAATTATAAGTTGAAATATACATTAGTCTCAATGCAGGACAATATTTTATTCAAATAAAAAATGTATTATTGATCCTTGGATTTACTCCCTCTCTCCTAATGAAATATTCCCTTAAATCGCCTATCATATTTCAGGATTTCTTATAACCTACAACAATTTCTTGTCCATCAAAATGTAACGGCTTAAGAATAAAAAGGATAATAAACAGTTAATTATTTCTCCTCTTAGCATTGTTAAGAAGTCCTTTTTTGTGGGGATTTTTCATAAGCAATGGATGGATGATTGTTACTCAAGTGTGTGTGTGTGTGTGTGTGTGTGTGGTGGCATTGCATATACCACTACTTACCACTACACTCAAAACAGCAAGGACAACAATACAATCAACAACAGAAAGTGTTTTCTTCTTCTTGTGCAACAGGATAAAGGAATGTTCATGGCAGTGGAATGAAAGAAGAAAAAATCGGAAATTGTTGTGGCTAATTGCTGGATTTCTTTCATTCCACAACAAGTGGGTGGTCGGACCAAAAATGGGAGATGTGTGTTTCAAATTAGCCACGGCCAACAGCTTAAATACTTAGACGAGTTTAAGTGTTTCATTCACTTCATCATCTTCTGCTTCTCCTTCAAAGCTTTGCACACAATTATTGTTGCATTTATTCAGTTTCTTCGTCTTCTAATCTCAGGGACATGGTTGTCAAGGGAATATTTAATAATAAGGACTTAATGTGGTATTTATGTCAATTACACACACACATACATACACATATGTGTGAGTGTATTTTTCTTAAAGAGAAAGAGATTGTATGGTGACTCACCTCCTCCATTTTTGTAGCACAAATAGGGAAATCGCCAGACGTTTGCTAAATCCACAGCGAATCCTATAACGGATAATAAGAAATCGACTTTGCCGCTCCATGTTTCACGTTCATCGGGACTATCGCTGATGTCACGTGGCGTTGTGGTCTTAGCTGCTGGTCTGTTAGGTGACATCGCCAAGGCGATGTCGTTTTCTTCGTCTTCTAAATCTGGAAGAAAAAAAAATATGACTTTTTTTTAGCAATATTTTATTAAAAAAACCCTAAAATAGTATAGAGGGAAGTTCGAAAAAATACTATAAATATATTTCGGTCGGACCGAACTTTTTATAACCTCCAGCACATGATATGCATTCAAACCTTCTTAAATTGGTCGGAACCTTTATATTTTATTCATCAGAAATCCGATATGTCATATTATAACCAGTTCATTTGTTAAAAGTTTAATAAAAACCGAAAAGGACCGGGCACTTTATGTGACGGCTTGGATCCCGGAATGATAAATTACACGTGCGACAATTTTTTGGGGGATGGAAAATTCCAATAGGGGATTGAAAGACCTTGGTGAGCACATGAAACGCCCAGAAAGAAATCTTGCCTTAGATCAAAGTTCGGAGATATAACCTGATAAGTTTTCCTCCGGCTATCCTATTATATATGAAGAGATAACTTCATATCTTGATTTCTAGCTATTGAAAGTATTTTTTTGAGATTAATTTTTTCAGTAAAATCGCATGGCGATTTTTTTTTTTAGAACATTTATTCCTTCTAACTTAATTCCTTGTGAGTCCTTTTTGTCCTTAATTTATAGCTCAATATGCTATTTTTCATTCTAGCAATATTCTACAAAAATGTTGCTCAAAAGATTTTAACGTTTTAATAGTTGATTTTCAATTTTACCCGCTTCGGGTCCCTAAAACCCTATATTTGTGTATTTCAATGAATACAGTATAAATTCATTCTAATTAAGAAATGTAAAATTTTTATATTTTTTTTGCTAAAACATATATAGGTATGCCAAATACGCCAAGAAAAATAAATTTTGGCGAAGAAATAACCGGATTTCTAATTTTTTGAACCGGATATTCGGGTGTAATATCTTGTATGCATATCATTAGAAAGCAAATAAACAAGTACGCTAGAAAAATTAATTTCGAGAAGAAAGAACCGGCTTTCAAAATGTTTGAACCGGATATTCAGGTAATAAAACCTATAATAGCCCGGTTCAATAAATTTATCGTGTTTGTTTAATAGCTTTCTAATAATATGCATATAAGAAGTTTAAACCGGTTTTATTATCTAAATATCCGGTTCAAAAATTTAAGAAACCCGGTTCTTTCTTCCGAAATTTATTTTTTTTGACGTGATTTGTAAAACTGTATATGTTTTTAGTAGACAATGCGGACGAATCCGAATATATAGTTACACCAAATAAGATAAAAAAAGTAATTTCGTGGAAAAAGAACCGATTTTCAAAATTTTGAACCGTATATTCAGATATTCAGAGATTCGGTTTTAATTTCTTTTATGAATATTAATAGAAAGTTATTAAAAACAACGCGCTAAATTTATTGAACCGGGCTATTATCGGTTTTGTTACTTGAATATCCGGTTCAAAAATTTTGAAAGCCGGTTTTAATAATACCGACTATAGTCCGGTTCAATAAATGTAGCGCGTTTGTTTAATAGTTTTCAAATAATATGAGTATAAGATATTAAAACCGGTTTTATTGTCTGGATAACAAGCTCAACGATTTTCAAACTCGATTCTTTCTTCCTCAAAATTCATTTTTCTGGCGTATTTGGTAAAACTATATATGCTTCTAGTAAATAATTCGGACACATCCGAATATATATAGTTACACTAAATAAGCAAAACAAGTAATTTCGAGGGAAAAATAACCGGTTTTCAAAATTTTTGAACCGGTTACTCAGACCATAAAACCGATAAAAGTCCGGTTCTTAAAATTTAGCACGTTTGTTTATTAGTTTCCTAAAGATATGCATATGCGGTATTAAAACCGGTTTTATTATCTAAATATCCGGTTAAAAAATTTAGAAACCCGGTTCTTTCTTCCCCAAAATTTATTCTTCTGGCACATTTAGCATAATTATATATGTTTTAGTAAATAATTCGGGCAATTCCGACATTTCTTTATAGTATTGAAGTACATAAATTTAGGGTTTTAGTGAAAAAAATTGAAAAAAAAACGTTAAGAAATCGTTTTCCCGTCTATGACGACCCCACCTAAAATCTTAGGAGCAACATTTTTGTAGAATATTTCGAGGTTGAAAAATCAAATTTTGTGGTAATTGGAGACCGGTTAAATAAATTAAGGACGAAAAGGACGCCCAAGGAATCGAGTTAGAAGGACAAAATGTTCTACAAATAAATTCCTTATTCGATTTTACTGCAGAAATATAATCTCCAAAAATACATACAATGGCTACAAATCAAGATATTGAGCAATCGCTTCATGTATAATAGGGTTGCCAGCAATAAAAAATGATCACATCTTATCTCCGAATTTAGACCCAGGACGAAATTTTCCTCCTGAAGTTTCAATATGCTAACCAGATTTTTAATCTCCAATAGGAATTTTCCAAATCTCCGCCACACATACTATGACCCCGATATGGTCTCACAATGTAATTTAATTTGGACAATAGTGAATATACTTCAGATGAATATTTCGAGGTGTTGCAAACGGAATTACAACTTTAACTCCACCATGTGGAGGATATACAAATGTTAATTGGCGGTTTCTTTTCTGCACTAATGATATACCTCATTGTTCTCCAAATTACCCAATTTTAAATTATCCAAACCCTAATATACATATATGAATATTTACAAAAGTATATATATTCTATAATAAAATAACAATTCTAGTTCAACTAGTGTCTGTGGCAGTAACAGTCTGTATAACTAGTGCAAGACCACCACAACAATAACAACAAAAACAAATACCCATAAACTTGTACAACTGGTTTTTAAACGTCATTTGCATATTTATTCCAATTCCTAAACATGGTCATCCAACAATCTGGGCATTCAGAATGAAACGAAAATGAAATTGTCGCAGGCATTCACAAAAAATAAAATGTTGAAATGGATGATATGATGGTCAACATACCCTCGCTGTCCCCCTCCTGCTCTCCATTCCAACTTCTCACTGTTTACATCCACTACAGGTAGAACGATTTGGGATTTCCGTAACAGATTTTCAAGTGTCATTTCAATGAGAGATCTGTCTGTGTCTATGAATATGCCTATATTTAAACAACCTGTCCGTTACAGAGTCGGAGTTAACCAATGGTCAGTTAAGTTGTTTGATGTGGTTCTGACATCAAAAGGTTAACTAAAGTAGACAGACAACCACATTTCAATACGGTTGGTAGTGTTTTACATTTTCGAATCTTTACACATTTTTTGACAATAGATTTTTATTTTGAATTGGAGCGGCTGTAAATGGAGAGGTTAATATATTTTTATTGTTTTGTTTATTTTTTGTAATATTTTAATATTTGCGTAAACAGCATTTTCGTATTCTTGTTAAATTTACAATTTCTAAAAATAGGAAAATGTGTTTGTTTTGGAAAAATTTGCTTTAACCAGTCACCACGTCACTCAGAAAATTGTATTCAATAAGGAATGTACAAATAAGGTACAAATGGCAAATAATACCAAATTTCGGAAGTCAATACCTACCATTCTGGTTGATAAGCGCCTTTAAATGATGTCCAAAATCCTCAAAATATCGAAATTTGGTACAAAAAATATTGGACCAATATTGATTTTTCGTAGTAAGATTTGGTACCCAATTAGAACCCAACATACCAAATTATAGGCAATTCGATGGAAAAACGTGTCAAAATCCCCAAGATACTGGAATTTGGGTGACACTGTTAAATGGGAGCTATCCTAAAAACTGGATCAATATTCATAATTTTTCGAAAAATCTCAAAATACCCGAAAATCGGGGAGCATTAGGAAAATATGATCCGATCTATTATACTGATTTGTGAAAAAATTTGGTAACAAATTAGGATGGGGATGTTACGACTGCTAACATGCCGGTTAATTTCGACCATTTCTCCGATTTTATCGACATTTTCGACGACCGGTCTACCTGTGCAAGGAGCATCATTAACATCAAAAAGTCTTGAACGGAATTTACGAAACCAAAATTGCGCATAATTGGCTGTTACATTATCGGAACCATTAACACCATTCACAATTTTAGCTTGGTTTGCATTCTCGCCTTTGTCAAAGAAAAACTTTAAAAATGTATATGGGAGCTATATCTAGATCTGAACTCACTTCAACAAAATTTCGCATATATCAATCTGGACCTAATTCAGTAAGCTGTGCAAAATTTTGTCTTAATCGGAGAAATGTTGGCAGTATGGTGCTCCATTTGCATAAAATCAGGAAGCTATATCTAAATGGGAGCTATATCTAAATCTGAACCGATTTTAACAAAACTTGACATATATTAAACTAGACCTAATTCAGTGCTCTGTGTAAATTTTTTTCTCAATCGGACCAATATTGGCAGAATGGTGCACCATTTACATAAAATCGGACGAAACATATATGGGTGCTATATCTAAAACTGAACTGATTTCAACAAAACTTCTCGGATGTCAAACTGCAGTAATTTCAATACGGATGTCAACCCTATAGCGGATGTCTAACCACAGCGTATTGAACTTAATACGCTGTGCAAAATTTTGCCTCAATCGGACAAACATCGACAGTATGGTGCACTAATTACATAAAATCGGACGACACTATATATGGGAGCTGTACCTAAATCTGAACCGATTCCAAAAAAACTTTGCATACATCAATCTCGACCTAATTCAGTATTCTGTGCAAAATTTTGTCTCAATCGGATCAATATTGGGGGTTTAGTGCAACAATAACATAAAATCGGACGAAACTATATATGGGAGCTATATCTAAATCAGAATCGATTTCAACGAAACTTGGCATATATCAATCTAGACCTAATTCAGTACTCAGTACTATTTTGTCTTAATGGTGGTGACTGATAAATATTCTTTTGAAAAATCTACGCTCTAATAACCTTTAAAAAATACTTTAAGAAATACATGCTCCGATGATCCTTGGAAAAAAAAATTTTTTTTAGTTTATGGTTTATAAAAAATTCCTCGGTAAAATTTTGACTCTAATAATCTTT